CGGGCCGCGCCGGGCCGCGCCAGGTCGCCCAAACTCCCGCCCCCCACCCCCGACCGCCGGGCCGCCCAAATCCTGAGCACTGGGCCGCACCGGGCCACCCAAACTCCAAGCACCGCGCCACACCAGCCCCAGCACCGCGCCACTGAAACAAAAACAAACAAAAAACCCCACCGAACCAAAAAAAACATAAAAAAACCCCAAAAACCCGAGCGCCCTGCCCCCCCCCAAGATTGGCCGCCCCTTCCAAGGTGCCGCCCCAAGCACGTGCTTGGTTGGCTGGTGCCTGGAGCCGGCCCTGTCTGCCGGCATGGAGCTCGTTGCAGGATCAGGGCCTAAATGATATCCAGCCCTGCCTCTGCCGTGTGCTTGCAGCTGTGTAAAAAATTCTTTCCCTCAGCCTACCTGCGTCCCAGCCAGCACAGCACTGCATCCCTCTGGTGGGGAGTAAATTCCTCACCAAGAGGATGGGATAAGGCTCCTTCCTGGTGGCTAATAAGAACTTCCTCCATTTAAACAGCCCTGAAGTTCACTGGCCAACTTCCTAGATTCATGGGCTCCCTCCTCAGTAGCGAAGGAGGAAACACACCAGACAGAGCACCCTGTACAAAAAGCGCAGAGGTAGTGTGATGGGTAACAATGGGGAAAGAGATACAGCTCCCTCCTGAGTGTGAAAAGACGGGTAGGGAAACACTGCTAAGGTGCTTGAGAACATTTCCCAGGGGATGGTGTGAATCTTCCTTACTTTTTGGCTCCCAGATAAGGTGGGCTTGTGAGACATCTTCCTGACGAGGCGCTCATTCTCCGGATCCACCACGAGGCTTTGCATTAATGACAGGAGCATGTCAGTTTCCACAGGGATATCTACATAAGGAGAAAGACGGTTAGTCAAGGCCTACCCTTCCCCACAAGACCCAGAGTTCAACAAACACATTGGGAAGGGGAAAATCTAGGGGGAATAAGTATAAAAGGGAAATTGTTTGGCAGTAGCTGGCCACTACACAGCTCAATGCAAACAGCCAGTTATTCTCAATCCTTGCCTTCACACTTGCAAACCCGTACAGTACAACAGGCACAAGGAGAACAGAGGCTCGCAGAGTACCTCATGCGGGATGTGCTTTTTCAGGCAATGCCCAAGCAGCATTCAGGGGCAGAGAGCCCGCAGAGAGCATCGCAGCAGTGTCTTTAGGGGGCTGACTTTCAACACAAGCCTCCGACAGAGGCTTCTAAGGAAGCTCTGCACTCATTGTTTAAAGCACGACAGAGCCCCGGTAAGAGGCTGGTTCAAAGATGGGACTCCCTAGGATTAGCGAATCTGCATGGTTTGAGATCCTTGAGAAGGACCTGGCCATGGGGTGGGGGGAGACCCAGGTAAAGACTGTTTGTGAGAAACCCATAAATTGCCTTATGTTTAAACTAAAGGTGAGGCTGAGCGGCAGAGTTGAGCCCCATATCCCAGCTTCCCCCAGAGGTCAGAAATCTTGGGAGCTGCAGCTTTGGTCCAGCTGATGTAGGAGCCATTCTCGACATCTAGAACTGCTTATTGGTGCAAAACTCACGCTGGGAGTTCAGATCAGGTGTTTTGGCTTTGCACTCAGCTGAGTTCGAGCCAGGTCGCACTTGGCTACCACACCTGTGAAGCGTGGCCTTTTCTTGGGGTCTTGGTCCCAGCACCTCTTCATCAAGTCAACCATCTGCTGGCATTCCCCTGGCCACTCATCACAGATGGACTCTAGGCAGGGCCGCCTGCCTGCTGAAATCCCGACTATGATGCCCATCATGTTGGCTCCTGAAAAAGAGTCAGCAATGGGCACTGCACTTGTTTTCTATGACCAGGATGGAGCAGCCATGCCGCTGTGGTAATTACAGCCGGGGTGTACCATTAGCCTGCGGCCTTTGACTCACTGCTTAGGGACTGCACTCCCTTGCTTCGAGCACAATCCCACCTCTGCCCCTACACCCCTATGCTCTAGGGCGTTGGCTTGTCAGTCTGTCTGAGCCAGCCCTGTGAGCAGCACACTGCACCGCAGGACTCCTGGGTTCCAGAAGGCCCAAGCTTCACATTATCCCCCTAACCCCTGCAGCCAGGTGAAGGTTTATCCCCCTAGATGACACCACCCACCTCGAGTCAACAGATGAAGCCCACTGGTTTATTGTCCTCAGGTCTCAACAGCAGCATCTGGCCACAGAGTTACAAAATAGGCAGCCTGGCTGGATGCAGGAACGGCAGTCAGGGCTCTTTGAGTCTATTCCAGGCTCTGCCACTGACTCTCTCTATGGCCTTGAGTGAGCTACTTGATTTCTCTCTGCTTCTGTTTCCCAGCCTGGAAAGCGGGGCTAATGATTTAGCCGGCTGTATTTCCCAGGGCTGTTGAGACTTGAGGTTACTCAATCAGCACAGTGCTTTGGAGGTAAAGATCGGTGTGGGAAGTGGTTTTTTTTAATTGTTACCTGAATATGGCTTCTTCTGCATAAGAACCTCCCAAATGACAATCCCGAAGCTGTGGGCAATGAAAGGTCAGCAGCAGCTGTCCATGTGGCATCCTTTTCTTAAATCACAATTCATCTCACTGCTTGGTAGGATACTCTCAGCTTCTCCAGGAATGGACAAATTAGGGAAGAGGCTATTCAGATGCATCTTATCGCAAGGGAACCAGCCCCCATGCCTCCAAAGGGGAGGATTTCTCAAACAATCACAGAAACCTCAGACAGCCCGGTACTCCCAGGCTGCGCCAATGCCGGAACTGGGGTTTGTCACTGTAATGGATTGCTCCCAACGACAGTCCCTGCAAGAATCAGGCACCGAGCCCCATTGTTTTGACCCAGTTCCCATTTGGGGAACCTATGTTTGGCGACTCCAAAGTCCCAGCATTCATTTGACCCTGGGCTTCTTCTTCGCTTCTTGTTCCACAGTGTGCCTGCTAAACAGCTGGTGCATTTCCGGGGTGGGTAAAGGGTCCCCCTATATCTAGTTTGGGATGTAAGGAACAAGAGGAACTTAAGTCATTGGCCTGTCTCCAGTATGGCACCCCATACTGGCCAAAGCTAAGCTGATACCCAAATGCAAAGCCGGAACAGAACCTTAATTGCTTCAGTACCAGCAAAAATAACAAGGAGTCCGGTGGCACCTTAAAGACTAACAGATGTATTTGATCTGAAGAAGTGTTTTTTTGCCCACAAAAGCTTATGCCCAAATAAATCTGTTAGTCTTTAGGGTGCCACCGGACTCCTTGTTGTTTTTGCTGATACAGACTAACATGGCTACCTCCTGATACTTCAGTACCAGCATAACTCTAAGCAATGCCTGTTGAGCAAGAGACCACATGCTGCCTGCATTGTGGTTTAATATTATTCCTCTCCTCCAATAGCTCTTCATGACCTAACAGGGTGTGATGGAACCGGAGGCAATACAGCGTACAAGTCATGCCGGGTCAGAACTATACAGAAATGCAGCTGGTCGGAGACAGATGACTCTCCGCGGATAAACTCACCCTGATGAGGGGCAGCACACGTCGCTCCTGGCATGTTCCCCACCAAGTACATTATGCAAGGAAGAGAGCCAGAACGTAAACAAAATTAGGCACTGCACAATCGCTCTCCCGTCATGCAGGAGCGAGATGGGAACTCTGGCTGACCCCTGAACAGATATCCCCAGCTGCTGCTGCCTCCCGTCCAGTCACGCCGCACAGCCCTTACCTATACACGTCGTATTCGGGTCCTGGCGGCCTGGTGCTGTGGAGAAACATTTCGGGCGGGATGTAGCTCAGGGTGCCCCGCAAGGCTGATCTCTCAATGTACTGCATCCGGCTCGACTGCTCCATCCATCTGGACAACCCAAAGTCTGAAATCTGAAACCCGGGCCAGTTATAACCTCCCTTTCTATCACCCAGCAACCCCTCTCCCTGCTTGCTCTAGCCCTCTAGGGTGCAGCTGTTTACAGACAGAGGGAAGGTTTTGTGATTGAGATGTGGGGAATGAACTCTCAGGCCCGTTGAAGTCAGAGAGAGTTTTGCCATTGAGCTTGATAGGGGTCAGGATATCACCCTGGATTGGGTGCTATGCCACAGCTATGCCACAGACTCCCTATTTGACCCTGGGGAAGTCATTTAATCTCTCTCTGTCTCCGTTCCCAGTCCCACCTTGTACGTTTTATCCCTTACTTCCACCCTCTGTCTACTTTGTCTAGTTCAGCTGTCAGCAAACCAGGGCAGGGTCTATCCCTCGTTACTAGGGTGACCAGATGTCCCAATTTTATAGGGACAGTCCCAATTTTTGGGTCTTTTTCTTATATAGGCTCCTATTACCCCCCACCCCCTGTCCCGATTTTTCACATTTGCTGTCTGATCACCCTACTCGTTACTTGTCCGTCTCTGATGTTCTTTGGGGTCTCTAAGCACTACTGTAAAACAACTAATAAATAACACTGATAACAGAGAGAAGAACCCATTCCTATACACACAGCCCTAATGCCTTACCTTAACGTGCATATTCCCATCTAGAAGAATATTCCCTGGTTTTAAGTCTAAGTGAAGTAAAGGAGGTGTCATGCTGTGCAGGAAATTCATAGCCAACCCCGTCTCATGGATAATGCGGAACTTGAGCTGCCAGGATAATTTGTGGGTGGGGAGCACTGTTTCCAAGGACCCCTGGGCCATGTATTCCATCACTATCCCCGGTGGGCTGTTGCAAATCCCATAGATGGAGACGATATGCTGGAATTTTATTTTCTCCATCTTGGCTGCCTCTTCGACAAGGCAGTTCATGCTGGTTCTGCAGGGAACGGAGAACGGAGAGATATCAGTGCGGATTCACAGGCAGCATGATGGGGCTGCAGCCCAGAGCACACCCAAACTTCCCGAGCAGCCTCTGTATCCCAGACTGGCCCCGTACACCCATCCACCTCCAGGATCAATGACAACGGTCTCCCAGGCTAGCGTGACCCTGCAGATGGCATCTGAAAATGTGTTGCTCTGTTGCAGGCCAAGTTCTAAGACACAGGCTGCTTTAAAGGCCTTGGGTTTCCATAACCAGCTGGCAACTGTACATGCCACGTCTCTAAATGAAATAGGTCTAAGCACATTCACCCCCAGCCTTTGAATAATGCCATACCAGGGACCCAGCTCTCAGACCAGTTCACAACCTTCCCATCAGTTATCTCACAAAGCCTCTGGGTGTAGCTGCCTCTATGCCCTGATTAAATTCATAAATCCCACTCATTGTTTCACTCAAGTCTATGCATCTCCCAACCCGTTTGACCAGTCTGGGTGTTCCCAGCATGTTCAAGGCAGCAGAGCGGTTCACATCAAGAATTCAGTTACATGGGCACGTTGGGAAAGAATCAGGGCTTGCACCATAGTTAAACTCAGCTGTGTTCAGTGTAATGTCTTTCATGTTTCAGTCCAGGTTTACAATAGCGCCCAAACGCCAAAGCCCTGGTGTGGCATGCAGACAGGTATACACACAAGCAGACGGGAGCTGGCACGGGCATCTTAGCACTTTGGGAAGTCTGGCCCTCAGTGTACTCCAGACACTATCCAGAGCAAAGTCTTCCAGTCATGGATACTGCAGGTCAGATCATGCCACATCTGAATGTGGGTACTCAGGGAAATCAGGGGGAGTAAGCCACAGCCGAGATCCCCTTTTGTGGCTTCCCTGCATCTCAGCTTGGCTGTCCACTGTTAGCCCACGAGCAGGTGGATGCGGAGAGAGGCAAAAGGTGGGTTGAGTCTGGATTCTGCCCCCATCCCAGGAGCCGCTCGGCTCATGCAGCACGGGAATAAGCCGCACCCTGAAGCGAAGGGTGCTACAGATCCATGTCCCCCATGAGCAAAGGGGAAGCAGAGAATGAATTTTACCTCACAGTTCCTTCCTTGGGCTCCTCCCGGGGCAGTGCCGCTATGCACTACCCGTACTCAGGACTAGGAGCAATGGCTCAGTCTAGGCCTGAATGACAGAGAGAGAGAGACAGACAGACTAATCTGTGGTTTGGGATGGGATTTGAAATCAGCTGGCCAGTCAGTAACAGCAAGGTTGTACTGATGCAAAGGCGGTGGGTTTGGTGCCCTGCCAGGCGAGCTAGGAGACAGAACACAGAGGAGGCACTGCCAGTAGCTAGACAAACAGGGGGAGCAGAGAGAAACTGAGCTGCATGCCCCAGTCTGTCTGTATCCCTCTGTTGTCTCTTGTTTCATACTTCGATTGTCAACTCTTTGGGGCACGGAGCATCTTTTTGTTCGGTTTCACAGCGGGATCCTGGTCTGTGACTGGGTCCTGGGTAATAACAAACAACCACCGCCACCCTAAAATGATCCCAGTGCCGGGTTCTCAAGCTTCTCCCCTCCACAGCACCGAGCCCCTTCTCTGGAAAGGCCCGCAACCCACATCTGAGACTCTCTTTCCTGGTTCATGTCCCCATAGCACTCCCCATCCCAATCAGCGCTCTGGACTCGGAGTCTCCTGAGTGGGTAGAATGGGCTGGCAATCAGTCCTCAGGCACCACCTGCACCACTCTCCAGGTCAGTGCACAGGGAGGCTGGCTCCTGTTCTATTCGTTGCCACTCACATGTGGCCATGTCTCCCATCTTCCCCCTACCTCAGCCCCCCTTTCCTCCGGACAGGTGAGTCTAGCTGAAATTAGTAGGCTCACTGACAAACAGCACCTCCAGTTGGAGTGACTGGTGCAGAGAGGTCGTGCTGAGACAGAGCGTGAGCGGATAGGAGTCACTCTACCAAATGCCTTCATTCATTCCTGATCTGTCGGCAATCGCAGCCTCATGGCTCCTGGCCAGGTGCTCAGGTGACTTTTAAAGGCTTTCTTGAAACCTGCTACTCTGCCTCTTTACAACAGGGCTGTGCCCCTGCGGTTTCTTCTCGTTAATTCTTTGGATGGTTTGGAACCTTTCACTTCCTTGTCTTGGGGCCTGTACGGAATATTTGCAGATAAAAAAAGAATTGAAATGTTTCTATTCTACATTAGAGAGAGTAAACATAAGAACTGCCCTACTGGGTCAGACCAACGGTCCATCTAGCCCAGTATCCTGTCTTCCGACTGGCCGATGCCAGATGCGTGAGAGGGAATGAACAGAACAGGGCACTTTATCAAGTGATCCATCCCCTGTCGTCCACTCCAGCTTCTGGCAGTCGGAGGTTTAGGAACACCCGGAGCATGAGGTTGCGTCCCTGACCATCTTGGCGAGTTACAGACACACTCTCAGCACTGGCTTGGAATTACCTGTCCTTGCTCTGGGTCCATTCCCAATGCTGAGGGTTAATGACATGGTTCCTTCTCCGTGGTTCCGTGCAGGGAGCTGAATTAAAGTCTCTGCAGGTGTGAGTCTTGACAAGGAGTTACTGGGGAGGCAGATGCACACAGCAAGGAACACCGGGAGTGTGGAAGGCAGGGCTAGTACATGAACACAGAGCATTGTAGCTAGGAGCTCTCTGGGCCTAGCAAAGACACCTGGATTTTATACTTGTCTGTGCTGCCCTTGTTCTTTGTTCCATCCACCTTTAACCCTCTCTAAGAACTGGCTAAAAATCTGCAAACCCAGGGACTTAACGTTAGGCATCTAAATCCATCATTGGATATTTAAACAGAAGCAGCCCAATATTTGAAAAAGTGCTCAGCACCCGCAAACCCCACTGAAGTCAGGAGGAGCGGCAGGTGCTCTGCACACGGGGAAATCACTTGGGGCATGGCCAGAGGCTGTTATGGAGGCACCTGTGTAGATTTTGGCCGCCAGGTTTCAGTGATTGGGCCAGGTTTTTTTGTCTTCAATATAGAGCTTTGTTCATTTTGTACACGCACGTATGCACACACAGGAGAGAAAGCGGATACGATTTCATCTAACAGTTAAGTTTCCGAATCCCTTCCGATGCCAAGGAAATGATTCAGCTCCACAGGGGGCAGGTGGAGAAGCGCTGAGAGCCCTTTTCCTTAGAGCTTTGTTACCAAATCAAGGCAGCTGGGGCCACATGGCAGGTTGATTGACACCTCAGACTGAGTTCTGAGGGACCGGGGAGTTACCTGTCTGAGCTGGAATCCGGCAGCAGACACGGGGAGCATTTCACAGCATAGACCATCCTCCACCGCTTGTGCTTCACTTGGTACACCTGCCCAAAGCCTCCGCTCGCCACCCTGACCCACTCCCCTTCAAAATCCTCCTTATTAAAAACGGTTAAGCTGCCCAAGCACCGGTCCATTTCAAAGCCACAAGGAAGAAAGCAACCCTGCCGGCTGCCTCCTGCTCATCTGGTATCACAGAGGAACCCAGGGAGAATGTTTCCTGCTACTCATTTGCATGAGGCGGAGGGTGGGGAGATATCTGAGATGAGCCGCGTTATACACTGCCAAGAGGTGGGTCCTAAATGGGACTTTTAATTGTCTGCCAAAGAGTCATGTTAAAAAATCCTAGCAGGTCACAACAAACCCTGAGCAGTGCTCAGAGACTATGGCATTGAGGCCAGGAATACCTCTGGCCCACATCCTCAAAGGGAGTTAGGCTCCAAACATCCATCGATTTCAATGGAAGCCTAAATACTTTTGAGGATCTGGGCCTCTGTCTCTAGGTTTTTAGAAGGTTGCCCATCCCTCTGGTATTTGAGTACAATGGAAACTGCAGTGCAAAGAGGAACCAGGCAGATAACTCCTTTGCACTAAAACTGCACTGTCGACAAACATAGGCGTGTGCTGGGTTGAACAGGATCCTGGATTTGCAGCTAAGAGAGTCGTCATGGACACTCAACTCCCCACCAGGTGGTTTGTAGGTCAAAGGTAAAGGGGGGGATATTTAAATCCAGAGGGTTCCAGTGCTGCAGACTTGCACCTGACAAAGGGGAAACACTGGGGTAGGTGGCTGTAAGTAAGGGAATCTGAAAAATACTCCAGGTGACAAAGGAGAAGACAAAGGAGAATGGCTCAGCACAGACCCATGGGGAATGTTGGAGCATGAACCTGAGAAAGTGTTAAAAAGAAGTACAGAGAGAGAGAGAAAAGGAAGGGCCGTGGATTAACCTGATATTCAAGTGCCTCAGAAGTAAGGGGCATTTGAGCAGATGAGAGAAAACTCCGGAGAACTGGTCGGAGGAGGGGCAAACCAGAAACTGTGGAACCCTGGTGTTCTGAACAAGTTATCTACATTTTGCCAACCTAAATATTCCCCTGTAGTTTCAATAGGCTAGGGTGCCCTGCTGCATCTCTTCCTGCATAAACTACACTGTTTTGTGCTTCTAAGCAGCTACTGTGCTTCAAACATGGCTGCATTTCAATGGAGAATGAAGTAATGGCCATTTATAATCATATAGGGCCTGATTTTCACTGGCACTAAGCTCTGGCAGCATAAAGGGGCCTTAAAGAGGACATAGGCCCCAGGGTAAATGAGGATCAAACCTATCATTCGTAATCAGCCACTTATAAATTGGGTGAAGGGCTTTTTGTTCCATCTTCTCCTGGACAGAGCCTGCTGCCTTAAATTGGGAGTAGACCTGTGCAGCATGCTCTCACGTATCCCGTCCATCACAAATGCATCTGGACTGCCGAGACTATACTTCAGATGCCTGGATAGACACATACCTGCCAAAGCAGACACAGGTGTGTGTTGCATGATATAGGACTTTCACTGCTACCTGGCAGAAGCAGGCGGCTTCTCCGTCTTTGTCTCCTGATTCTGGTTGAGGTTCCCAGACGTGTTTAAATTTCTGAGGCCAACGCCCCGGCAAAGGAATCCTTGCCTCTTGCACAATTGGACTGCACACATTTTCTGCTTCTAAGAAGAACAAGTGTGGTTTCATGGCATGCCACAGATTGTTGCTGGGTTTTCTTGGCAGCTCTCCAT